CTGCTGCATCCTCTCCAAGGAAGGGCAAAGGTCCCACGGGGGAGCGGTCCTCACTGGCGTAGGGCCAGGAGGGTTGGCCCCTCTGGGGACAGCCTTGTGCTGCCTCAGGCGTCCCTGGGACTCCCGGGGTTCAGGTGGCAGCCCCAGGGAGTCCCCGAGATCACGGAACCTGCTTGCTCCCTGCAGCGAGTGTGGTAGGCAAGGCACTTCCTTGTCTAACACAGAAGCTGCTGGTGTCCTCGTCAGGTTAGGATTTCACCAACACCAAAGGGGAAGCAACATGTACTCTAGGTTGTATATACATACATAGAAGTCTTGTTTAAGCTGCCAAGACTGGGTTATAAAAAAAGCCAGACTTCATTATCAGTGAGAGAAATACTTCCATTGAAAATGAGAAAGAGACAGAGGATCAGATTAAATTACTTAATTGTTTCTGCACTGAATCAGAATTTTTCCCCCAAGAGTGTTTGTAGCCTCAGGTTATCTCCCTTCAGAAGTGGATGTTACTCAATAGAAATATAATTGCTCAATTTAAAAGCACACTTTACTAATGCTATATCACAAAATTTCTAGAATTTTCTAGAAAATTCTAGAAATTGCTCAGAACTTGGGCACCCTGGAGGTGTACGAGCGGCTGATGGGATGGCCTGATGACAGGGGCTGGGGGGGCAGTGCGGCCCCCAGGCTGAGCCCCCCGCCCGAGAGGGCCCACCGGAGTCCCATCGTTCAGGCGGTGGCATGAGGGAGCTGACAGAGCAGGCTCCACAGAGGCAACTGCACACCTCTCCTCCCAACTCTGCGCTCAGGGATCTCCCACTGGTGACCTGGAATGAGCCATGGAGACAGTATTTCCGCCACAGAAACTAGCAAACCAGAGAGCTGGTTGGTAAGCACTTATCTGCCCATCACTGAGTAGCAGGCTCTGTGTCTTAAGTCTCCTATGTCTTAAAGAGGCAACAAGCCAGCGACTGAGCCCAGCATCTATGTTCCATGCACTGCAGCCTAGGCCCTCCTGGGACATCCTTCCACAAACGGAACGGCTGCAGGGAGGACAGGGGTGCCACATGTGACGGGGCCCTGGGACAAAAGTGAGCTCTCCCCTGAGTCGCACCGTCTCCGGGGCTGCCGTCTCCCCCGCTGAGCCCCAAGGCGGGCCCCTGACCAGCTGTCCTGACGGCCGCTGTGCAAGCTGACCGACCATGTGCGGGGGTCCTGGCCCCTCTCAATCCCGGGCAATGAGGCCAGGCCTGCGCCCGGCAGGGAGGAGAGGAGCAGGAAGGGCAGGTACATGTGCGAAGGGCAAGGTGCAGTGAGACCCAGTTGGATGTGACACACGGACTGCAAACCATTTGGCCAAACGGGGGCATGTCGCACCGGTGAAGGACCAGTGTTACCTCTTTAAGCCACAGGAGACTGAAGACACGGGTGCCTAGGTTCGCCTTCTGACTGCGGGGGTCCAGCCCGAGAGTGCTGCGCCCGGCGACGGGGGTGGGGCGTGCGGGGCGGGGGTGCTGCCGACATCCCTGTGCCCATGGCTTGGGCGTCTGGGATGGGCAGCACTGGGCTCTTCTTGGGAAAGGCAACTGAAAGCAAGAACCCAAGTGTCACAGGATGATTAGTGGCCTCCAAAGATATCAGGTCCTAATCGCTAGACTCTCTATATGGAATCTTCATATTTAAAAAAAAAAAAAAAAGGTCTTTATCGATGTGACTAAGGTAAGGATCTTGAGATGGAAGATTATCCTGAATTATCTAGGGGGGCCCTGCAAGTGTCCCCAGAAGAGGGAGAGCGGACCTGGAGGACGAGGCGGAGGCCTCAGGGAGGAGCCACCAGCCAAGGAGAGCTGGCAGCCACCAGAGGCTGGAAGCGGCGAGGAAAAGCTTCTCCCCGGGGCCTCGGGGAGAAGGCAGCGCGGCTGGCAGTTTGGCCTTGGCCCCATGACACTGATTTCTGCACTTCCAGTCTTCAGATCTGTGTGAGGATGAACACATGCTGTTTCAAACTGGCGAGCGTGTGGGCATTTGCTACAGCAGCCACGGGAAGCCGGTGCACTACCCAACATAAAAAATAATGGATTCAAAGCAAGGACTCTCTGTACCATTTAGCAAAAACTAAGAATTCTCCAATTCTCCATAACCAAATCTCTTTTATTCCCTCAGCAGCAAAGGACAGGCAAGATTTAAGACTAATGGGTGGGAAGTGCCATCCTTCCAGTCAGATCCCCATACATGCCGCCCCGTGCCCCCACGCCCTGGCGTGTGCTGGGCCTGCCGCCGGGCTCGCCTGGCACCCCGCCCTCGTGGCGCCGCCCCAGGGACCCCCTCCGCCCGGGCCAGGCGGTGCTCCCAGCCTCTGCCGTGCTGGGGTCCCCAGCTCGGGCGGCATGGGCCCCACCGGCTGGTGGGGCTGGGGGAGCTGGGGAGCCTGTGCCCCTCGTCCTGGGGGCCACTGAGCGCTATTAGAAAATATGGACTCAGGATTTGCTCGTCTCTGAATTTTTTCAAGAGAAGTAAAAAATTCCACCTACTTAGGTGAATTTTCCCCGATTTTATAATTTGGTAACTAATTTAAAGAATAAAGTTGAAGCCCTGTGCACAAAACAGAGAGCTGTCTGGCTGCTGGTTTGGCACAGGGCTGCCAGGCCACAGCTTGTGCCCGAGGCCTGCGCTCTGTAGCGGCGTTTCCCTCAGGGGTCGCTAGTCACTGGCCAGCGCCCACCTCTGGACTATCCCTCCAACTACCCAGCCCTTATCCCAGGGCAGGGTTGTGCCTACGTGGCCCCGGGGCCCGGAAACCACACTAGTGGCTGAGTGAAGAAGGAAGTGAGAAGGGAACGGAGGGTGACAGGGAGGGACTATAGTAACCTATCTATTGGGAGAAAGTCAGCAACGTGCCAGAAGTCTCTGACGTCAACACAAACACCCATGAGTGCCAATGTGCCATCCAGCTGGATGCTCAGTGCTCTGACACTTTGAGAATTGCCTGCTTGGTGTGCGGGGGGCCAGCCGTACCAGGTCCAGCTTCCTGTGGGAGAAGCAGTTTAGACGAGAGAGCCAGCGCCAGCCCGAGCACGCTCCCCACGGAGAGGCCATCCATTGGTAGGACCCCTGTGGGACCGTCCCAGTGACGGCAGACCTCAGCCGGGCCACGGCCAGCCCGGAGAAAAGACCTTAAACTACTCCTGCTCAGACCCAGGTGTGCACAGGCCTCTCCAGGCCTCAGTTTCCCCAGATGAAGAGTGAAGAGCATAAGTACCTCATTCCAGGGGCACCTTCGCAACCTCTGCCATATCCTTGTACTAAAGGCACAAACATTTCTTCAATGTCTTTCTCTAAAATTAGCTATATGTTTGAAAACGTTAAGTGAATTCATTACAAAACAACCATAAAAGGAAAACCAGTATCATTTGCCAAACACACAGAGACCTTAATCCAAAGAAACCAGGCCAGTATGTTCGATTCTGGACAGCTGCTGCTGTGTGCTCGGCAAGGGTCGGGGAGACGTAAAGGACACACGGACACCCAGAGAAGGCCGCCTCCTGGCTACTGGCAAAGGGACCCGCGTTCCCACCTCGAGGACCCCACAGCTGCTCCGCGCTTCCCTGAGCGCTGCAGGGCCGGTGTGCCAGGGCCACGCTCCCCGTGGGGCCCGGGGAGTCTGGAGTGCACGCCCATCCCTTCCCCGGGGAACAAAACATGTGGAGCCCTTTAAGAAAGCAGAACAGAATGTGTGGACCCTCCTAGTGCACCAGTTTGGCCCTACGGCCACCAGCTGGCCCAGGGCCTTGAATGCCACACTGACAGGTTTAGAATCCAGTGGGTTTCTGGCAAAACTGCCCCCTTTGCCTCATCTCTCTCCCCAGAACTGCCCACAGGCAGCCCTACAAACTACAAATGATGCTGGGAGTCCGGAGGTTTTCACTGAGGGCTCAGGAGCTGAAACTGATGCCTGCTCCGCGGGGGAAGGCTGCACTCCTAAGCCCGCTGCCTGCTCTTAGGTTGGTGGTTCCTTTTTCACTTTTTTTCAGGACGGCCTGGCCTCGGAAACAAGGCCTGCACAGACTTCGGCCCAGGGCTCCCCGCGGCGCACCCCACCTCGCAGGGCTCGCAAAGCCAGACAGAGGCCTTTCATGGCTTCAAAAGTTCCACCAGGTCCTCCAGCCACAGGAGGCTGGAATGGGTAACTGAATCCTACTCAAGGAAAAAAAAAAAAAGGCACAGTGACCTTTTGTCCCAGCAGAAGTTCCCGGCTTTCTCCCCAGCCAGCAGAGGCGGCTCAGCCAGGGGAGTAAGGAATTGCAGATGTGCACGCGGGGCCACGGCCGCCTTCCCCACGGCAGGGCTACCTCGCCGGACAGCTGCGGGTCGCCGCGGTATCCAGGAAGCCCGGAGCCCGACCCCGCTCCAGTCCTGGGCCCCCTCCCAGCTTCGGCCCAAAGGCTCGCGGTCATTGCTGCCCCTTCCCCGCGCCTCGCCCAGAGCTCGTTCCAGCAAAGCGACGGCAACACGGAATCAACATTTCTATGGGGCAGAGGTTCCTGTTGGGACGTGAAGAGGGCGCGCAGGCCTGTCTGGGACACACTAAGGGCTGCCCCCGGTACTGCAGGGAGGGCGCAGGTGGGGGCCGCCTCTCCTCGGTGGGCGCGGAACACTGAGAGCCGGTGGGGGAACCCCGCGCTGGCCGGCTCTGCTCGAGACTTGGAGCAAAGCAGAGAAAAGCGCCCTCACTGCACAGGGGCTGCGGGCATCGCTGTGTCGCAAGCGTCCGGGAGCGGGAGAGAACTGATTCCCTTCCGTCTGTGTAGACTTGGCCAGATCGCCCTCACCAAGTGCAAGACCGGAACTGGGCAGTCCCCTCCCCCTACCACCCTTGGACCAGTCCGATCGACGCCCCCATCCCGCGACGCTTCCCGGTCCCCAGAAACCCGCTCTCGGGCTCAGGCGCTGAGAGGCCGGGGCGCCGAAGTCCGCGCCCCTGCGGATGAAGGGGCCGCACTCACCGCACATCGTGGCCACTGCTCCCGCCCTTCGCAGCTCCTGCGTTCAGCAAACACCGCACACTCAGTGCACGCTGAAGTTCGGAGACGCCGGGCGCCGGCCCTTAAAGACCGGAGCCCTCCGCCAGGGGCGGGGCTGGGGCGGGGCTTCCTCCGGTCCCTGCTCCCCACTGGCCCCCGGTTGTCGTGACAACGGCCGGGACTGGGCCCCTCCAGTCAAGGAGGAGGACGAGAGGCGGCTGGAGGCGCCAGTCCCGTCGGGAAAGCGGGTGTCGGGCACGGGGTCCTGAAGAGGGGTTTGGAGGAGCTCGAGGGGACGGCGGACTCGGCCTCACATGCTGCGGAGGCGCAGGACCTGAGGCAGGTGCCTGTTCCTCCGTCTGCGAAAGGGGGGTGGCAATGGTACGCCAACTGGGACGCAGTGAGGGTTACGACAGTCTGTGTAACGCACAGAGCACGTTGTCAGGCACGACGTGCGGGTTCAGGTGTGCGCCCCCCCGCGGGCCAGATTCCTCAGAGCGCCAGGTGGCCTTCAACCTGGTCGCCGCCCTCTAAGGAGAGAACTCCAGCGCCTGGTTGACAGATGAGAAAACGGAGGCTCCTCAGAGATGGAAAGGGACTGACCAAACTGGGTAGTGGAGGCGGTGGCAGAATCCGAGCTCGGTCCCCACTGCAGAGCTGGAACCGGAGGCGGGGATTCCCGAGTTCCCGGGTCAGCCCAGCTGGGACGACCCAAGAAGCTGCCCCTTGGCTGCCGCGCGGGCCAGCTGTTCGCGCGGCGCCCCGCGCGCGCGCCCGCGCGCGCGCCGACCGCGTCCCTGCCCCCGGGGCCGGGAGTCCCCCAACCCGCCCCCCCCCCACCGTGACTCACCGAGGCCGACACACCCCGCCCGTTCCCGGCCGTCCCCTCCCCTCTCCGCTGCGCTCCCGGCCTCAGTCTCCCGTGGGAGGTCACGAGGACTGGCCCAACATTTGCGTACTTTGAAGCCATCTGGTGTTTTTTACTTAACTTAAAAAAAAAAAATCCTGAAACTACAAACAGATCCTCCCGGTCATGTTAGAGAACAAAACGAAGCTTTTTACGTCTTGTCTAGAGCATTTCCTGATGCAATCTCTCTTCACCGGGCTCTGCGGGCCCTGCGGGAGATGTCTATGGTACACACTCGCCTATTGAGGAAAAGAGATCAGTGGCAGCGAGGAGGGAGTTTGGCTTGAATCGGAGCAGGAAGGAGCAGCGCAGCTGGCTCAGCAGCCTCTGCACGGCGCTCAGCCTGCGCTGGCTGGCGGGGTCGCCCTCAGTTCTGGGCGGGGCTTGATGCCTGTCCTGGCGCAAGGGGTTTAACGCGGAGTGGAAGCAGACCCAGCCTGGGCCCCGCTGGCACCTCCGAAGCGCTGGGAGGCAGACACGAGTCCGGTGTCACACAGAGCCAGACAATTCCGGGTGGCATAAGGGGAGGGGCAGGCGGGGCTATGGGAGGATGCCGGCCTCTGCCAGGACCGGGCTGCGGTTGGGGCTGGCGCAGGTGAGTGCAGGGCCAGGGCAGTTACCAGAACAGTGTCCAGAAGGGAGGGCGGAAGAGGAATGTGCCGAAGTCCCATGCGGGGGGCTAGAGCTAGCCTCGGCAGGACAGGCTGTTCTGCCCCAGGCCAGCCTCCACCCTCTGTGACAGGGTGATGTCAGCAGCTCTCTGCGAGCACCCAGGCACCAAGAGCCCGAGGCTCTAGCAGGGCCCAGATCTGTCTCCCACCGTTCTCCTGGTTTCTCAGCTCCCCGGTGGGGAGTGAATGCAAGGCCCCCTGTGGAGGTATCTGAAGCTGCTGCTGGCCCAGCATCCCCCCTGCTACCGGGACCAGCCCCCGAGATTCTTTGGGAGCACAAAGGCCTGGGCCGGGCCGCGCACTCACGAGATCCCCCTGGCATCCCGATGGGGGTCACCAGCAAAAAAGATGAACTTGTCTCTGCGGTGGCACAGCTGGTGGCCAGGGGGACTGGAGATGCTGGGGACCCTCTTGCCATTTTCATAGGCCCTGAGTTCAGCCAGGTGTGAAGCCAGGACCGACCCCTGAACTGCTTGGTAAGTCCCTCTCTTTGCTTGAGGCACTCTCAGTGACTTCTTCCATTTGTAACCAAGTAGAATGCTGATTCCTTCAAACCACTGGAACTGCAAGCCGTTGGGCAGCCGGTGGCCCCAGCCCATAATGTCCTGCAGCCTGAAGCCCCCTCCTGCCCTTGGACTTGTCAGTGACGTGGTCCAGGTAGAGCCCAAGCAGCCCCCGAATTGGCTGAGATTAAGCAATCTGCCTGAAGTCGCACAGCTGGGAGGTAGGGGCTGGTCAGGCAGGAGGCCAGGCTTGGCCCTGTCACAAGGGAGGATGTGGGACCAGGCATAGGTGGCTCCCCCAACCTGGCCCACACTCATGCTTCCAGGAGGGTGAGCCTGAGCAGCTGGCGACAAAGGCCCAGAGGGCCTGGTGGGGCGGGGCCAGCGGGTTGTGGCGTCCAGCGTCATGGCTGACCTGTGTGGCTGTCTCAGGCCCCACTTTCTGGCAATGACCGGACCCCTCTGGCTAGGGGATGGGACCACACACTGGGAATTTGCAAACAGCAGCCACAAACACATCTTTCTTGCCTCAGTTTTTTTTTTTTCAAACCTCAAGTAAACTTCTATATAGTTGGGAGATTTGCTTACTGACCTGGCTTTTCCCAAACAACCAGAGATCTGCTCCCCAGCCCTCTGCCCCGCTTCTGGCTGAGCCCCATGTCTGTGTGGTACACATGGAGCAGCCTGTGGTCTCCCCACCACAGCCCTGCTCAGCTGCTTTTCCTTCTGACATTTCCACTGGGCCCTGGGGAGGGTTATGGGGTCCATGGCGTTAGCGCAGGTAGCTAGATATTAATAAAGGAAGAGGGCAAAGGGAATCAGACATTATAAGGCAAAATCAACTAGGGAGCAGAAGCCTGCTTGCTTCACCGGGGAGCTACAGCCTCACACACGCCCTAGGTCCCCGTCGTCTGCACTGCCGATCACTGGGGGAGGGAAGCGGGCCGCAAAGCGAGAGGTAAGCACTGCACAGTACGAGCCAAGAGGGCGACCTGGAGGGCCTGGCAATCTGGCCTGGGAAAAGATTGGATTGGATACAGCCTTGGAAGATCTAGGAAACGGAGGGGTTAGGGGTGGGCCCATCAGAAGCCTGCAAAAGCTTGGAGAGTTAATTAGTTATTTTGAAAAAGCTCCTGATCCTTCCCAAGCCCAACATAATATATTCCCAGCTAGCAAAGAGCCGTGTCTCTCTCTCTCACTGTGACAGGCACTCGCCCTGCATGCTCAATAGCAACCATGCGGGTCTAACAGCCGCCTGGGGCCCGGAACACGGGATCTGTGTACGTTGGCCTTATTTCTAGACGTGGAGAAGACAAAATTGGACTTTTTCTACAGCAGGGGGCACCAAGATGAGACATTGGAAACCTGGGGGCAGCCTTCTAATCTTACCACGCCACCACTTCCCACGCGGGGACCTCTCTGAATGCTTTCCTTGGGACTCCGTGAAAGGACACCGTTCCCACCGGCAAGAGTGTTGCGGCGAGGGCTGCCCTCTGCCTCCTGCGGGAGTCCCAACGGGGCTTTTACCAGGTCCCACGTCGTCAGTAGGGTCTTCACCACCAGCCTCCAAGTGCCTCAGCTGGGCATGGCTGCTGAGCGGTCAGGAGTGGTCCCTCTTCTTCCCAACGCCTTGCAGCCCCCTGAGAGAAGACATGCCAGGCAGGCCTTGATGACAACTCCCGGAGCCCAGAGACCCAGCCCAGCGCCGCGCAGCACAGGGGTTCCCAGGCTTCGGTGGAGGGAGGGCCCGGGGCTGGGGGTGCAGCACACCGAGGCCTGTGGCCGAGAGCCCTGCACTGGGTCACTTCATCTGGGTTGGGCAGGAGATTCTATTGGGGTCCTTGAATGGTACCCACAGAGGGCAGGGTTCGGGGAGCCCAGGTCGGATGCCCTGGGTGTCCTGACCCAGATATGGGTGCCCTGCCTCAGGGCTGCCAACCCTCAGCTCAGACCTCAGACGGGCGGGACAAGGAATGGCAAGGTCGGGAGCCACCTCGTCAGCTTCTCCCACCGCCCTCCTGTGCCGCTGGGCTGGGGTGGGTGGGCAGGGGGGTGCCAAAGGCCCAGGGCTCGGGATGGTCTGAGAGATTGACCAGGGCTCAAGGACAGCCAGCAATGGAGAGCTGGGTGGGGAACTGAGGCAGAAATCCCTTTACAGAGTGAGGGCCCGGGGGCGGAAGGCCTCAGAGGCTTGGCTAGGACACAGTAAAGGGGGAAGCCGTGGCTGCCATGTGGTTCCACCTCAGCCCAGCCCGGTGCGGGTCGAGAGAGGACCCCCCCGGCACAGGCCAGGGCTGCACAGAGCCGCCCACCCCGAGGAGCTCCCAGACCGGGGCTCGTGCGCCTCCCACCCTCCTGCAGGGCTGGAGCGGAGGGTGGCCGGCCACCGGGCTGGGCTGGTGTGCTCTTTTATGAGTGCCTGTTGATTTTTCAAAAGTATAAGGCTAATTATTTACTAGGATAACTTTTTTTCTCATAGAAGAAATGCATAGTCATTTTAGGAAAAACAATAAAAAATTGTCAATTTTTATACTCCATGTTATTCTTTGCATCTGTAGTCCTTATTTAAACAATGGTATGATCATACTGCAAATACTGTCTTGTAGCTGCAGTTTGGTTTCTGATGAGAAAGAATTTCAAATCGCGCTGCAGAGCCTGGATCTGGCCCAGGCTCTCGCGCCCTGAGTCCAGGCACCTTGGCTGGGCCAGGAGAGGGTTGGAGGTCTGAGTGGGACGAGCAGAAACCTGGACTGCACTGAGCACTGGCTTTGGGACAGCGGTGAGTCGGGAGTGCGGCCAAGCCCTGGAGGCCCCGGCGAGGTCGCAGGGGGCTGGCGCAGCCGCGCCTGCCTGTGCAGGGTCTGCGGCAGCACCTGCTCCCGAAGCTCATCCTGCTCCGAGCAGCATAATACTTCAAGCTCGATTTTTTTCTGGCACACATCCCCTCAGACACAAAACGGCACGTGTGGGGTTCCTGCCAGAGCCGGGGGAGGCTTCACATT